TCTTGTATAAAATGCATAATTGTTGGGGACTTTTTTTTCTTCTGATTTTCTAGGAAAGTAAATTAGTTGCTTCAGTTCAGCTTGAACTTCCAATCCTAAACCTAAAATCATGTGCAAACACAAATTTCCTGTAGCAAATGAAATAAGAACACGTATACAAAATAATTGTATTGTATTAATGTAAATGTAAGGTTGCAATCTCTGTTTACAAAGTTTCCTCTTATTCGTTCTCCGAAGATGTGTAGATGTGTGTTGTTGATTCGAGGGTTGCAATGACTTGATCTCGGATGAATGATTGCTGCAAGGATTTAGCTTGTGGTGATGGAAGAACCGGGAGAGTAGTAGTGCTTGATGATTCTTTATGGGTTTGACGAAAATCAGGGAGGGTTTTCCGAGTCTTCTTGATTATTTGGGGTTCGAGTGCTTGAGAGCTTCAGAGTTTCAAAGCTTCAACGTCTGGGCGTGAATGATTTTCTGGCCTGTTTCTTTGTCTTGGAGTCTCGTATTTATAAACTCTCAAAGCTTTGCTTATGGATGGATTTGACATTGATTGTGGGCTTGATTAATTGATAAAAGAAGCTTGACTCGATTTGTGGACCAATTCGTAATTTGACTCCATCAATTACATTTGATTTAATTAAATTAAAATCAAATAATTCTTTTCCGTCAAGTGTTGACACGTATCTTTCTTGATGATTTGTCTAAATTTGATGAGTCACATCCATGTGTACACTTGTGAGATGCATGACGTATGTCGCGTATGCCCTGACATATCGAAACTTTTAATGTATTGAAGAGTATTTGTTTCACCGAAATTTTAATGTCTACACTATGATGAAAGAACATAAAAGTGATCATGATGAAAATGAAAGCTATTCAGTGGCTACAGTGTTGCCCAGATCTCTTACCCACCTACTATCGATCAGCTAGCTTTCTGGTGCACCGTGTTTCCATATTTCCACATTTCCGGACTTCCAAAAGCAGATTCTGCTGGGTATTATATTAGATATGGGGTACTTCTGTGTACACTCGCTGAAAAGTCAGCAATTATTATATTAGATTTTGACATAAATCAATCGCTTTGCATTTGATATATGCAGAGAGAGACTAGGTCTCAGCTCTCTGGTACCAGTGTCCATAACCTTTCTGTCTCCAGTCCAGTTCGGCAGGGTTTTTTATGTATAAAAAACTGGTCATTGACGAACTACCAGTGCTGCCACTGTGTATTATGTATTGCCATGCCCAACTGATCGAAGGCGTGGTTTGAAGCTGTTGGAAATTATATATTATCTTTCATATTATAATATTTAATTTTTATATGAATGAAGAATAAGAGTTATGTATTATAGATGAATTCAAATTTATGAGTTGCGTCTGTTCGTTGAAATTTTAAGCAACAGTCACAATGTTTTAAAAATGATAGCTTGAGTTTTCTACAAACTCAAACATCCCACAAATCTAATGGACCGAAGAAAAGAGTTTTCTCCAATGTCTTTTATTATTTGTTAGTCAAAATTTGAGTCGTGTATTGAGAGTACAGAATATATGAAGTTTGTCAGAGTTCGAAGATTGAAGTGCTTTGACTTCCACTATTCTATGTACCTCACTCTCTGATTAACTCCAATGGCTGTTCTTGCATGAATCATATGAAGGCTCTCTCAGTTTCAGGTAACTTTCCACATTTATATCGTTATTTTTTTTGGTGAATTTGTTCTGTTTTTCTTTTCCACTAAGATTCGAACTGAACTTGGTTCTATCTTTTTCTGCTATCTTCACCCAGTTACCTGAATATATCGTCTCTTGATGTGTGGTGTTGTTTCGTAATTTTGATGATATTTCATTTGATCTGTCTGGTCTGTCTGGTCTCCGGTGAAAATATTTGATTTTCCAATGTTACTATGAAGAAAGGTGGCGGGAGAGAAATGAAGAAATTAAAACAAAATTTTGAAGGTGAAAAAAGAAGAAGACAACAATAAAACCAATAACAAAAATGAAATGGTTAATAAATGAAAACGGGCACTCAGTTTTCAATTTTTTGTTTTTAATTTTCTCTGAAAACTTGTTTGATAAATATTTTCATGAAAATTAGAAACAAAAATTAAGCTAAAATTTGAAATCTAAACAAAGTAGCTTTTAGTTTTTCAAAAACTAAAAGTGAAAAGATTATTAAACAACAAAGATTCACTTGTGGTGAAACTGCAAGACGCTCGATTAAGCATATCTAAAACTACGTTAATGAAACTTTATTTGTCAACTATAAGATGGTGAAAAGACATCTTTGTTCACAACAAAAATGTTAAAGACAGTAATGTAATTTCACAAGGCAAAATTTTTCTTTTTTTTTAATCCTCACCTACATGTAATGTTATCATTTCTAACCTCTCTCTTTCGATTTTAACAACAAAAGTAAAAAAAATTCACACTTTGTGTGTAGGCATATACTAGTACATGTATAACTAGAGAGTAGATAATGTTCTCTTTCGAAGTAGCAACCATGATCGATCATAGTTTTTAATACATATATAATAAAAGAGTAATTCTAGAGAAATCATATATATACACCATATTAGTATATTATATGATGTGGCAAATGATGTCTACAACAAAAATCCAAAGAGATAAACTCTTTAATTGACATGTACACGTCACTTGTCATATAAAATGGTAAACAAATGTGATACAACAATATGGCTTCCATAACATTAGAACAATGATATACAAAGAGTGGAGATTTAGGAAAAGTCACACAATGAGTTGATTATTATATTTTGAACTTACCATCTATATAATCAGTCAAACCTGAGATATTTGATTTACTAGTGAAGAAAAATACACTAAATTGGTGACCACACTACTCTCTTACTTCTTAGAAGTGCTATCTATTGACTCACTGTAGACAGTCAGATCTAAAAATAAAAAATTAGATGACATACTTCCTAAATGTCTAGGGCTAGCTAGCTTGAGAAAGGGGGGAAGGAAGGACAGGGGAAGCTAGGGTAGATGGGAAGACAGATACATGCACGCTTAAACGATTTTCATGATCCTCTATCTACACTTCTTTTCAGTTTCTCTAGCAATTTAACTTCAAGCTAAACTAGTACGAACTAAAATTAGGTTGTGTTCCCAGATCAGGATACAGAGATCAAACTTCAAAATATCTTGGTAAACCTCTTACCGCACGTGATATTGCTAGTGGAAATATCTCCATGTATGTACGTGTGTAACATATAATTAGAGCTTTAGCAATTTCCTTACGGAGCGATTAAATACAGGACCATGAATTTAATGAATTTGACCCATTGAAATACTATATATGTACATTATAACTTCAAAACATAAATGTTGTATTTATATGTGTGCGTTTTTTAATGCATTTCATAATAGAAACTAGCTGATGCACATACTCTGTGTGTGTGTGAACAATTTCATTTTATTTTTTTGTTTTTTTATTAAGGAGTGTGATTAGTTTTTAAAATTTTAAAAAGAGTATGAAAAAATGATGGTATGACAATTTCACTTAATAAGTGCATATTTTATCTAAATATTACATAATTACTATTTTGTCCTCCTTATGTAAATATTGTGTATCAAAAGTGAGGGTAAAATAGAAAAAATAGGGATATGATTATCATTTTCTCAAAAGATACTAAATTACTATTGTGCCCTCATTATGTAAGTATTGTGTATCAAAAGTGAGGGCAAAACGGGAAAAATGGGATAAAAAGTTAACAAGGAGGGTTCTCTTAATAGTAATAATAATAATATATAGATATAGACAACATAACCAGCTCCAGGAAGAGAAAACAGGAAACATCGTCAATCTTCAAAATAAATGCATATATATGTAAACATGAGAAAGAACAATATCTAATTCTCCGCACAGGATTAACTTATTCGGTATAAGTTTTTTTTTTTTTTTTTCTCATGTGCAAATTAAAGAGAGCTTTATAAGTAGATTAAAAATTGTGTTTTGAACTATTACAACATCAAAGATTTCCCAGCCAAAGAAAAAGAAAACCATTGCCAGGGCCACCGTTTTTGCCAAATTTTCTCCTTACTAAAATACTTTAGTTATACACATGCGATCAGTATCTTGAATAAATTTTTTACACAATTCATAAAGAACAAAATTCGGTGAGGGCATCGTTATCCTTGGACCTTGACTATATTGTTTACCAAGATTTGTTTGATTATTCTTCCACAAACTTCTTAATCAAAGCATAAACATGTTCATCACACACCTTGTGCAATAGTCCATCTGGCTAGCTGTTGAATACTAATATATCCATATCAATTCGATCGACAAGAAGCTATAGCCTATATATTACTGCGAAATTCAAGATATTGCAATTAGCCAAGAAAGTGCATGCAAATCTGCATAACTAACCTAGCAGCAAGTATTAACTGTTTCCATGGAAATCTGGCTTACTTTTATGAGATTGCTACAGTCTTGCTTAATTTCCAAGGAGCCTTTAGCATAACAAGCTAGGAAGGAGGAAATAAAACCAGAAACAAAGGGGAATAGAAATTTCACATTCCTCATCCCACAGATCTGCTATAAACCTTTCCACCTTGGAAAAGAAACCACAATTCGATAGGCATCCATTTTTAATTGTATGAATTGGGTGAAATCCATGACAAATATCAAACAGGGAACAAGTATCATGTAATATTTATCAAACAGGGAACAACTATCAGGTGATATTTATTTTTTATCAAATAGGGAACAACTATCATGTAATATTGGTCATGATGAATCCCATTACAGCAAGCATGTTCATCAAGTATCTCCTGGCACTGTTCCTTTTCTTTGAAGATATCACTAGTTAAATCAGATACCAATTGTCAGAACATGAATATATACCCTATGTGGTGAGTTTGATTGTTTATAGCATATCTATCCCCGCTTAAATTGTACCTTTTTAAAATTAGAACAGAAATGTTTACATCATAAGTTAAAACAAAACAAAAAAAGACGTTATAACTAATTAACAAATATCTCATCAATGTCATCAGTATTAGTCATTTGTTGTTTTCACCAGGGATGTGGTTTTGACATAAATCAATGCATGCTTGTAGGGGTCTATATGTAATTCTGATCCAGTACTAGTTATATGCATTGCTAAGGAAACCTATCTTCAATTGGATCATTATGGTAACTCTTGAGGAGCTGAAAAACAGTGGAACAGGTGACTCAATAGATATATTAATGTGCAATCAAAGAAATACATGAACAAAAATCTAGCTTACTTCTTTGATCGAAGTTAATAATTTGGAAGATAATCAATAAATTCGCCGGATAATTCCACAATTAGGCCTCCCAAGATTTCAGTTCCTGCAGATTGACATCTTAATCATTAAATCTGGAATCGAAAAATAAATAATTAAGGAGAGGCATGGCTACAATAGATATGTGTATATGTATACCAGTGGAAATTAAGATTGATGGTGGCGATGGCACAATTAATGCTAGGGCATTGGGAAAGCGCCATTGATGTCCCAATTTTGAGAAGCATTGGGAAATTGGAGGTGGCTGTTGCTGGAACTCTGATCAGTAGTATTATAATTGGAAACTACTGATGAAAATGACTTCATTTTGTTTCTTTTGATCAAAGCAGATTGATCCTCCTCGTGACGATGATGGTGATGAGCTTGATTAGCCAAGAGGGATCCCAGTTCTTGATTCACACGATGATCTCCAAAATTAACCTTCGACGAGGATGAGATGTTTGTTTCGTGCTCATCAAGCTGCTCAATCAATAAGTTCAATTGGTTCAACATCTGATGAGGCCTCCTACTAGTAGTGCACATCTTTTTCTCTCTTGTCCTTTCCCTTGCCTTTGCTCTTGCCTTTGCCCTCGACTCTTTCGCAACATAAGCTCCAGCAGATTTAGATTCGCTCAACTTCTTCATCATCACCATCTCTTTTTCTTTGCTCAATACATGGTTTTCCACCTCGTTTATGTCCGAAACAACCTCGTCGCACTCGGAAGTGGAAGACAAACTCTTGGACCGCTCAGAACTGCAGCTCAAGTTCTTCTTCTGTGTTCCGAGATCCCTGATGGCCTTTCTGGACTTTTTTAGTAGCCACTCGATGGTTTTACTTGCCCTGTCAAGCCCTAGCAGGTCTTGGAGGTCAAAGAACTGACGGGCAACGTTGAGGGAGAGCCTCACCCTACGGTCCCTCAAACCCTGAGCGGTGAAGATCTTGCTGTGCCGGTCTTTCTTCATCTCGGCCGGTGCTACTACTAAATCTTCCCTAGAAGAATGAAGAAAATAAGGAATAATATTATCATTACTAATGCTACCATAGTTACTATGGTAGTACTGATGATGATGAAGATGATCTCCACAAGAGGATGATATGGTAGAGTTTATAATACCAGGCACAGTGTTTGATGAAACTCCCAAATGGGTTAGGGTTTGATGAGAAGGAGGCGCCATTAAAGCAATATTTTGGTGTGAAAATTGACCAGAGAGGGGATCAGGAATGTGATGAAGGAAAGTGTCTCCGGTGCAGGTTTCTAGGTTTGCACAAGGAGGAGGAGGAGGAGGAGGAGGGTAATTTGAAGAAGAAGAAGAAGAAAAGGGAAAGTTATGTTGAAAAGGAATTACAGTATTACTATTATAACTGGAGGATGAAAACATGATTTCTTTTTCCTCGGGCTGTTAGGCAGTCCTTATACAATATAATACCTTTGTTAAGAGAGCCTCTTCTTCTTTTGAACACTAGAAAGAAATTATCCTAATTTCGAACAGGTAAAGAGAGCTTCTTCATACCCATTGAACTTCTCAAGACTTCGCTTTTCATACTCACTTTCTCACTGCAACTTCAGATCCATCTGTGTTCTTAAAAAGAAGATCAAGGGGAGTGAGCTCTGCTGTGAAAGATGCATGGTACCGGATATATAAACACGGAAGCACTAATAAGTGGGGGATTGATTTGTTTGTGTTGGAGACATCTGAAAGATGGGTTTTTGGCTGTTTCTGCTGTTCTTCCTTTCTCTTGTTTTTGTTTTTGTTTTGTTTTTTTTTTTTTCCGGTGTACTGTTTCTTGGGCAAAGTCTTGAAGGTACAATATTTGGAATAAGCAATAAGGATCTTCTCCGGATCCTCTTGGTAAGGATCTCGGGAGTCAAATATTTTGTTATCGTAAATTATGTGGTAAAAAATTATTTAAAATTGAATACAAACAAATAAGAAAAATTGATTTCACAATATACGATAAATAAATATGATTTACGAATTTTCGAAATTCTCACAAAAATGATCGGATTCCAATTTTTGGGTTTCATTGAGGGTGATGTGTCACCGGACATGTAAGGCGCAAAATATGTGGGTTTGTGCCACTTAATGTGGAAATACCATACCCAACCAAAACTGATGGGAAATTTGACAACCCAACTTTTAGACCCGTTAAAATTTCCAGAAAAGGGCAAGACCACATTTCATTAACTAGGGTTAGGTTAGGCAATACCTCAGCCTAGATAATAATTTCCAAGCACATTTTTTTCTCTTTCTACATGGTTCAGGTAGTTTTTCTGACTTAATTTTTATTTATTTATTCAATTTAAAGATCAAAATAGAGGAATGTATAAGAGGAAAAAAAATTCTTATAAAAAAATGTAAGAGAAGAAAAAAAAAAAAGACTGGAAATCATTCCCCAACTAGATAATGCCTCTTGAAGAATTTGAAAATCAAAATGGCGTAAGCTTCTTATGGCGCGTTTACTAATCCGTAATCAGATTGAGAGGAATTGAATTGAGGAGGAATTGAATTACGGAGGAATTGGAATGAGGTGGAAGTAGAATCAGATTCTTGTTGAAGTTGTTTACTAAAACTGTCTGGAATCGAAGAAGAATGATGTTGGTTCTATATAAGTTGTTTACTAATTCACTGGAATCAGAATTAAAACTAGCTTGATTACTAAATTGCCCTTATATAAATAAATTATTTTTATACTAATTAATCAAACTAATTTTAGATACCAAAATTTATCTATATAAAACTAATTAAAGAGGTTTCTTTTTGTACCCAAAACCCTTGTGTCTGTCTCTGTCTCCTCCACACTGGCCTTTCATCCTAAAGGCCTTATTTCCCCAGTCGCAACAACCCTCCCCCATCCCCGCCTTTCCTTGCCCTCCACCCCACTTACCCCCATAGCCACCGCCCCTAGCCCCAATTTCTGAAACCCTCTATCTCTCTCCTCCGTGCCCTCCCTCTTCGCTTTCTCGGTTACTCCCGCGATGGTTCACAACGCTGTTCAATCCAATGCGTCTGTGAAAGCCGGTGAGTGGGTCAAAGTTTAGAGATCTCATATATGCTTCCTGAGCGGGTCGCCTACTACTGATCGTAGTGGGTATGATGTTTGGCTGATGGGTTATTTTTTTTTTTCTTTTCATTTTCTCTAAATTTGAAATTTTGATTGTTGAAGTTGAGGATGGGTGTGATAATTCTACATATGGTGGCTGTTATATTTGTGGTTGATTAGGGAAAGACAGAAGAGAGGGTGGTCTAGGGTTGCAGAAAACTGCAATGAGTGTTTCGGAATTAGAAAAAAGTATGGGGGTAATATTGGTACAAAAGATGGATTCCTGATAGGCTTCATTTCGAGGAATTCAATTACCACCTCAATGTCAAGAATTGAATTTCGGAAGTTTGGGGAATCTGATTCCCCAAATCAAGTGGGTCCCATGCACTTTTTTCATTCCCAGGTGTTAGTAAACAGAGGAATGATCAGGAATGTGGATTGATTCCCATTCCTCCATACCCATTCCCTATATGTAAACGCGCCATTATTGTAGGTGGGATATACTTCTTTTTTGCTCTTTTATTTGTCAATTAAGCATCATCTTGCGACATGATGAAATGGTATTTTAATTTTAATATGTTAATTATTATTGATGTTAATATAACACGTAGTCTCTCTGATTCATTACGTATCATAAGAATCGTGTATACACAAAAGTTTCTCCATTGTTGACAGATAAATTAATCTAACATATACTCTTGGGTTCGTACTTCTTAAAAGGGAGCCTAATTCATTATGACCATTACAAACAGAGGAAGCCTTTAAAGGAAGGGATCTTCATTTTTTTTCTTCTTATAAAAGTGGGGATTAGTTGTGGGGTCCACACGATATCGAATTTTAACAATCTGAACTATTTATTTTTCAAGTTGCACCTCATAGATCATCCTTGCAAAATATTAACCAAAACAAAAATATTTAAGACATCTAATTGGGTTAAAAATAATTAACGAATACTTTGTTATATAAGAATGATCTTCATAATTATATTGGCAAATGATTTTGGATTGAATTGAATTTTTGTAAGGATGATCTATGAATCGAGACTTACAAATTAGACGGTTCAGATTATTGAAGTTCGATGTCGAGTGGATTCCACACCCAGTCCCCACTTTTTGTAAAAAATAGAGATCCCTTTGCATAAATGGCATGTACAAACATATATTCTGTATTTGTCATACAAATATTAAGCATGCAAACGATCAAAGCTTTCTATTTATTTGGAAAAGAAAAAACTAATGAATCTTTAGGTTTACCAAGATTTGTTTGATTATTCTTCCACAAACTTCTTAATCAAAGCATAAACATGTTCATCACACACCTTGTGCAATAGTCCACCTGGCTAGCTGTTGAATACTAATATATCCTTATCAATTCGATCGACAAGAAGCTATAGCCTTATATATTACTGTGAAATTCAAGATATTGCAATTAGCCAAGAAATTGCATGCAAATCTGCACAACTAACCTAGCAGCAAGTATTAACTATTTCCATGGAAATCTGGCTTACTTTTATGAGATTGCTACAGTCTTGCTTAATTTCCAAGGAGCCTTTAGCATAACAAGCTAGGAAGGAGGAAATAAAACCAGAAACAAAGGGGGAATAGAAATTTCACATTCCTCATCCCATAAATCTGCTATAAACCTTTTCACCTTGGAAAAGAAACCATAATTCGATAGGCATCCATCTTTAATTTTATGGTTGTTGTAGTAAAGATGAATTGTGCGAAATCCATGACAAATATCAAACAGGGAACAAGTATCATGTAATATTTATCAAACAGGGAACAACTATTAGGTGATATTTATTTTTATCAAACAGGGAACAACTATCATGTAATATTGGTCATGATGAATCCCATTACAGCAAGCATGTTCATCAAGTATCTCCTGGCACTGTTCCTTTTCTTTGAAGATATCACTAGTTAAATCAGATACCAATTGTCAGAACATGAATATATACCCTATGTGGTGAGTTTGATTGTTTATAGCATATCTATCCCCGCTTAAATTGTACCTTTTTAAAATTAGAACAGAAATGTTTACATCATAAGTTAAAACAAAACAAAAAAAAGACGTTATAACTAATTAACAAATATCTCATCAATGTCATCAGTATTAGTCATTTGTTGTTTTCACCAGGGATGTGGTTTTGACATAAATCAATGCATGCTTGTAGGGGTCTATATGTAATTCTGATCCAGTACTAGTTATATGCATTGCTAAGGAAACCTATCTTCAATTGGATCATTATGGTAACTCTTGAGGAGCTGAAAAAACAGTGGGAACAGGTGACTCAATAGATATATTAATGTGCAATCAAAGAAATACATGAACAAAAATCTAGCTTACTTCTTTGATCGAAGTTAATAATTTGGAAGATAATCAATAAATTCGCCGGATAATTCCACAATTAGGCCTCCCAAGATTTCAGTTCCTGCAGATTGACATCTTAATCATTAAATCTGGAATCGAAAAATAAATAATTAAGGAGAGGCATGGCTACAATAGATATGTGTATATGTATACCAGTGGAAATTAAGATTGATGGTGGCGATGGCACAATTAATGCTAGGGCATTGGGAAAGCGCCATTGATGTCCCAATTTTGAGAAGCATTGGGAAATTGGAGGTGGCTATTGCTGGAACTCTGATCAGTAGTATTATAATTGGAAACTACTGATGAAAATGACTTCATTTTGTTTCTTTTGATCAAAGCAGATTGATCCTCCTCGTGACGATGATGGTGATGAGCTTGATTAGCCAAGAGGGATCCCAGTTCTTGATTCACACGATGATCTCCAAAATTAACCTTCGACGAGGATGAGATGTTTGTTTCGTGATCATCAAGCTGCTCAATCAATAAGTTCAATTGGTTCAACATCTGATGAGGCCTCCTACTAGTAGTGCACATCTTTTTCTCTCTTGTCCTTTCCCTTGCCTTTGCTCTTGCCTTTGCCCTCGACTCTTTCGCAACATAAGCTCCAGCAGATTTAGATTCGCTCAACTTCTTCATCATCACCATCTCTTTTTCTTTGCTCAATACATGGTTTTCCACCTCGTTTATGTCCGAAACAACCTCGTCGCACTCGGAAGTGGAAGACAAACTCTTGGACCGCTCAGAACTGCAGCTCAAGTTCTTCTTCTGTGTTCCGAGATCCCTGATGGCCTTTCTGGACTTTTTTAGTAGCCACTCGATGGTTTTACTTGCCCTGTCAAGCCCTAGCAGGTCTTGGAGGTCAAAGAACTGACGGGCAACGTTGAGGGAGAGCCTCACCCTACGGTCCCTCAAACCCTGAGCGGTGAAGATCTTGCTGTGCCGGTCTTTCTTCATCTCGGCCGGTGCTACTACTAAATCTTCCCTAGAAGAATGAAGAAAATAAGGAATAATATTATCATTACTAATGCTACCATAGTTACTATGGTAGTACTGATGATGATGAAGATGATCTCCACAAGAGGATGATATGGTAGAGTTTATAATACCAGGCACAGTGTTTGATGAAACTCCCAAATGGGTTAGGGTTTGATGAGAAGGAGGCGCCATTAAAGCAATATTTTGGTGTGAAAATTGACCAGAGAGAGGATCAGGAATGTGATGAAGGAAAGTGTCTCCGGTGCAAGTTTCTAGGTTTGCACAAGGAGGAGGAGGAGGAGGAGGAGGAGGAGGGTAATTTGAAGAAGAAGAAGAAGAAAAGGGAAAGTTATGTTGAAAAGGAATTACAGTATTACTATTATAACTGGAAGATGAAAACATGATTTCTTTTTCCTCGGGCTGTTAGGCAGTCCTTATACAATATAATACCTTTGTTAAGAGAGCCTCTTCTTCTTTTGAACACTAGAAAGAAATTATCCTAA